TTGTTTGTTGAAATAAATGGCTTTTTCAATTTGGCTATAGCGTTGGCGTGTACGCGCATGTTTGACGCCAATGCTGAGTGGCCGTTATCTTAATTTTATGTGAAATTCAAGTACATTTTCAACGGAAATGGCTGTTCAAATGACAGCATAGCCGATGTGCGGTTATCGTTTGTTCGATTGCCAATGGCGTTGGGAATTGTGGTAGTCGGCCATTTCAATGGTATATAATGGAAATTCCTAACGGATAAAACGTTTTTTTTTTCCACCATATGCATGTGAGTGCGTGGGAGAGAATTCAGTATTAGGAAACCAAAATCGTAAATTTTCCAACCGAAAAACGTTCAACGCTCAAGTGTTTAGTAGACTTTTGCCAAAACTCAGTTTTAATAAGCTTTCTCTTGAGCTGTAAACTCTAAACAGAGCAGAACATGTGCCAGAAAATGAACCATGTAAACCAACCGAGCACCAATTGGTCATATAACAATAATAATCAAGCATGTTTTCTTCATTGAATTTAATTGTTTGCTTTACCAACAGCAATAATTGGCCGCCAATTCTCGTTCGTATTATATTCATTCATCAACCCTCATTATATGGCTCATTCGTGAAATGTTCAATTACATTATTTCTCTCACAACCTGCCGCTGCTGCAGTCATTGTTACTATAGTCGTTGACTTTAAAGCGATTCGATGAACGCTTCAAGGTTTATTGTTCGATTCATGCTAATCGGAAGCGTGGAATGAGGTTGGACGCATACTTTATTTCCATTGAAATCAAAATTTACAATGGAAAATGAAGAGAAAAGTTTTACGAGGTACTTGTTGAAAAACATACGAGCGAAAACAAATGGATATTCAACATAAAGAGCTTTCCGTTGAACACAAATTGAATAACAACAGTCTTATTCATCTCCTTTATCTCGTTTCTCTATCGCAACGATGCATTCGCTGGAATTCATTCCGGTTTCCAATGTTTAAGAATTGATTTAATGCAGAGAATTGTTCGGCCAATTTGTTATTTTTTTCTTTTCGTTTTTTTTCGTCTGTCTGTATTGTTCATTCAACGCACCAAAATGTAAATCGATCTATTGATAGCCAGGAGCTTCCGTTTTCATTTGGTTTTGATTTTGAAATGGAAATCGTAATTTGCGATGAATAAAGGGCTTGCCATTTTCAAGAGCTCAACCGTTTGATTGCCACTATTGATTACCATTTCAAATTACATTTCCATGACAGGTCCAAAATTCTGAAGCAGCAAATAAACACACGCACAGACACTCACACTTCGGAAAAAAATCGAACTTTTCCATTCACTCAATTACTCGCCTCAAAAGATAGCTATAGTTGAACACGCAACATCGGCAGCAGCTTACGCTCTCATGTACCATCGACTTGAGTGGCCCCTTTTGCAAAAGGGTGAAGATGTGCGAATGTGGAAATTTACCTGTAGAGCCCGGGAACATGCGGCCATAGTCAACGCTCAAGAGCGTCAGCACAAATAAAAACCAAACAAATCATATCACTTCTTTTTATGGTTTCTCTTTCAAGCTCTTCTTCCCGAAACGTAAAAGTTTTTCTCGCACATTTGATACGAATTTTGGACGTCATACACCCCGTTTTTATGAAACAGGATTTATATCTAAATAAATTTGTTTTCGGAAAAACTTTTCCATTTCATTTCGGGCGTGTGTGTCTTTGCAAATTACGAAGTATTTTTACTTCTATTCTTTTATTCCGATTTAAATGTTCGTCGACGATTTATTTTCGTGAATATGAATGTTTCATCACAAAAATAGAAAATTTGATTTCATATTTTGATTGCGCACAATGATTTTGCACCGAAGTAAAAATGCTATGCTCATATTATTCGTGTGGGACTGTATGGGATATTTTGGTCAGAGCGTTGAACAAAATGTTACACGTGTTAGATATTATTTGCGCATTTCTTCAATTTCTTTTCCGCTTTGCTACACCTTCGGTTGCACGCTCTTTTCTTTCAGCGTTGCCAACAGATACACAGATTTAAAATGCAAAGTTTTTGCTACTTTTGATAAGGTGAAAGGGAACATTCTCTGTTTATCTCTCTATAGACTGGTGGTAGTCACAACAAAGTATGCGAGAGAAAACAATGCGAATGATATGAATGTTGACTGTGCGTAGGCGTAATCTTAATGCTGCCATTATTCGTTGCCCCGGCATCTTTTCTCGTTTGGATAATATATTTTTCTTTTGATTTTATTATTTCCAGTGTAATGAAACTAGAATGATGTGCTCCCTGGAACTTATCAATCTTGTATCAAGTAGATAATCATATCCCGTCTCTGTTGTTATGCTGCACTGGTTTCAGCTTGAGGATAATTAGAAAAATAAATATGTTCGCAGAATTTATTAGAAAAATAAGAGACGCTTTTGTTTTTTTTTAATCCACAAACGATTACTATGGCAAATTCAAGTTCATACTCACTTGTTGAATTAGCAAAATTACAGCGTAAACACATTGCAATTCAATTTATCATTGCTCTTCACGTTCGCTCATCATGTCTGAAACGCATCCTGTCGCGTTTGAATTTCGAAGAGAAAATCGATTTTTTTTGTATCACTTGAAATGAAATTGCGTGGTGGCGATGGCGGCGGCCTTCCAAATTTAAGTAACAACATTCCCTATTCGGCTCATTTGATAAAAGTGGATATTATTTTTATTTTTGCTGTGTGCAACAAGCTGAACAACCACTTTGGCTAATGACAGTTTCCAATTTAACTAAACGCCAGTTCCGAGAACGAGAACATTATTTTGCATTGGTGAATTGGAATGCAAATTTGCTGGTGGAATGCTGTGCGCGTGCACACACACACTCATTTCATTTCCACACGAATTGAAGAAGCAACAAGCGCTTTTTTTTCCACTCGGTGTATTTACATTAGATTTATTTCATTTTGTGTTCGTTCGTGTTATTTTATTTTTATTTCAGTATTTGATCAAGATCAACATGAGCACCACCGATTGAAAACTGTTTCAATTTTCCAGATTTTATGTCAAAAGCAATTTTTATTGGTGCTGCAGTGTCAGATGATCGCTGAACGAAAACGGTTTCTCGATTAAGCACAAAATAACAAGCCAACAAGGAAATATATTATACGTATAAAAACAACCAGTTACGGAGGGAGAGGGGAGATAAAATGGAGAATAAAAAAAACGACGTGAGTGGCATTCGATTCGCGTGTGTTAACATACTTGAATCATGGTGTTGCTTGGATTCCAATGCATTAAAACGTGCTCAATTTTCAATGTAAAGGACGAGAAAGACCTATTTACAGAATTGATTGGCTGCACACAATGGCGCCCCCTCTCTCTATCTCTGTCTTTCCATTCGTTTTTATTTACTGACAACAAAAAGTGAAACGTCGCTTGAATGAAATAAACGTAGTCGATCCAGGGATTTGTGCGACAAGTATTAACTTAACTTATCGTTAGATAAAATAGAAAAAAAAAATAAACAGAAAATTGCATCGATGTCACAAATCTTTATCGTAATTATTCTATGTACGAGAATGAAAGAGAGGGAAAGGAAGGAAGGGGAAAAGGAGTTAGCTGAAGAAAGAAGATTGAAAGAGGCGAAATGACGGGAAACCGTTGAAATCATATGAAATGAATGACTGAAAGGCGAATTGAATACCGTATTGACGTTATTATTGGGTTGCTCATTTAAAATTCATTTCCGCATAATGCCATTGTTGTGCAAGCGAGTGTGTGTGTGAGTCTTTATTTTCGGCTGTTCATTATTATTTTTGACGTTAATGTGGCTTTTTCGTTCGGTTAATGACATATTAATAAAGTTCGTTGGATAAGAATGAAGTTGCGTTGGCATGCAAAAGATGTGGTAAGAGAGAAGAAAAGCGAAAAATGGCAGAGTATAAGCTTGTTTGTTGACATTTTTTATTCTGCAAGCATTCACGTTTAAACACTGAAGAACGATGCGGAACGACTCTATTTACGGAAGCATCAGTGCTGTGAGCGAATGATAAAATAAAAGCTAGACATTCCATGCGAAGAGAAATGTTATGTGGTTGAATCAAAATGCGGTTTTTGACTTCAAACCATCATCATCGTTATTATCATTATAGCTGTCAACACCGTCATCATTGGTTTTATGGAAATTTCACACATCAAATCAATGCCATCGAAAGAGACACGACATCATTCTTTCCGCTCGCCCGCGCATACAAATACATTTCACATACTTGTCGTTTGTATTCAACGCACTGTTTTATATATCGATAAATGTTGGCAACAAAATGTGACCATCGTTATTGTTTGTCGTTGGATAGCAAAACATCATTTCGCACCACCGAACGAAATAACGCTGCAGAAGAAGTGAATGAATATATGCATAATGCTTGAACAAACGACAGGGGCCCCATTTGGGAAAATAAGCATATATTATCTTTTGAATGTAGCACATCTTCTAGGATCTATGATTTCTACAATGGTGCCGAGATTTGTATTTCATCAACATTTTTATTCCGTTTTAAAATAGTATATATATACATAATGATTTTCCTATTCCGTTTGTTTTGTTCACTCTTTTTCATATCCGTTTCGGTGTGTGCATGTGTTTCGTATCGTTTGTACCGATAGCAATGCCTTTAATACTACGATTTATTCCATTGTTATTATTTGCCATTTGTTTTATGCCAATGCACCGTACAGGCGTACATAGTACGATAGAGAAAACTTTCTGAATGACTGCCACAAACACAGAGACAGACTTTCAATGTCTACATATTTCATGTTATATACATCAATTTTGTTGAAACTAATAAATTTGTGCTACTATTCAAAAATATTTGTTCGGGTCGTAGTTCTGAACGAAATTCTGAAAATTTTCTCTGTTTACATTTTGCTCGTCAAAATGTTTTATTACTCATTGTTAAACACGGCATGAATTTTTATTGAAAAAACGAGAAAAAAAAACGTCTGCCTATAAAGCGCTAATATTCACCTCCAGCTGGAAAAGAAATTTATTCGGATATCTTGTTGTACACTTATGGTTAATGTGAGTATAAACAAGCGACTTCCATCGTTAGCGTAATGATTATTAATTTGAAACGCAGATGTGTCTCTTATTCTCTCTTTTGCTTTTATCTTTTCAAACTTTTTCAATCTTCTTTTTTTCGCAGCAAATATTCATGATACATCAAACGAATTGGTAGAAAGGTTTCTTCACTACGAACAATAAATCACACATAATACGCCAAAATTAGTTCGCATTACAATACAACATTTCACCAAATTAATATTGAATACTGAAACCGACCAACATCAAATGCAAAAAAAAAAATATTGGGGACGGAAATGAAGAACTCAACAACTGAAAGTAAACACAAAACACACAAAAATTGATGGTATCTTACAACACGCGTGAGAACACGTCCTTTACTTAGGCTTCACTCTGCTAGACTGAGGAGAATACCCGATAGCATGTTGTTCTTATAGCAATTAGCAATGATCACAGGTGTTAAATGTCGAGTTTGCGCGAATCCCCCAAAATACAAAGCTTTCGTTCGAATCCATGCTAAATCATCCCCACGTTGAGCACAGCTTTCGAATAGGCCCGAAACTTTTCATGCTTTTGAAAGTTTTAAACCGAACAAGAGAGACGGTCAGAAGTGGAGTTTGTTTGAAATAAAAAGCTTTTTCATTTCTATAAATAGACAATAAATTTTATTTTCATCATCTCCATACACCAACAAAAATATATTATAGATATGAAAATTGAATAGTAGATATAAAGATGTGTACAATTTTGAGCAATATTTCTGAATTATTTTTTTTTTCACTTCTGTATTCATCGATCAATAAAAGTAATAAATATTTTATTTAAAGTGGACTGCAAAAAATGGCAAACGACAAAGAGTGTGTGATAAATCAAGAGAAAAATATGTTGAAGGAAATTATTATAATAAATATGTAATTTTGGCGAGCGGTTTATGTGGAGAGGTCGATTGTTCGTTCTTTGGAATGGAAAATGTTCCCATTATACTGAAAAAAAGGAGATTAAATACTGATGTGAGATAACTGTGATTTGTTGATGCATTTTCTATACAGTAAAATCTCCCAATAGTGACAAGTCTCAACGATTTTCGAAATTTAACGTCAAAGATTATGAAATTATGTTTAATGGTGAAAATAATTGAAAGATTTTACTGTATGTTGAAAAATCGAAGGGCAACAAGAACATTTATTGGACCCTAGATAGAACCAATGAACTGCTCTCATGCGACATTGGTATTCAATTACTTTCAAGTCCTTCTTCATCATAACAACAATCGTAATCCTGAAAATAAATAAAAATAGAACAATGCAAAGATTCAGGTTACATAAGTATATTAACGATAATAATAGAAGCTAATAGTTGGTTTCTCTCGATTGACATTCTTCATGTTACCGTAAATTACCTACCGTTCTCAAACATACAGGTAACAAATGACGCACACCGACTCGGCTTGGCGAATGAAATTTATTTTCAAAACAGAAAAATTACCTTACCACACAAACATATAACATTCGAAGATAGTTAGAAGGTTTCCCAAATACAAGGTTTGAAAATATCTTCGATTTATGTGATGAGACACACATTTTTTTCCTAATGGTTTACCAATTGTTTTTTTTTTTATTTTGAAAACATATGAATGACAACTCCGACGGAGAATAGGAAAAAGTGCAATTATTCAAAGTGTATAGAAACATTGATGAAAACAGTAAAAAAAACTAGATTTTTCATTGCTTGCTCAATCGATGCATAATTAATTTAATACGAAAAATTATAAATAATTCATCACAAATTGAAAAATGAGAGAGAGTGAGAGCAAAGTAAACGTGATAAATTATTTTGGTAAACGAATGAACAATCGACATCGAATTTAATTTACATCACATCAGAGTAAAAAAATGTGTTTCTCCATAAAATTTTATTTTAAAATAAAATTATTTCCATAACATTTACATAATTCATTAAATAATAAATTGGACATAGACAAATATTCTGTTATATTGTGTGTGTGTTCTGTATTTAGTCTGACATTTTTTTTAGTTTCACATAAATGTATGTGGTTGTAAAGGAGGCATTGACATAAAATGTAAATGAATGTGTACAAGTTTATACATAAATAAATCAATAAAAAGGATTTGATTACATACAAATTGTAAAATGTTCGGGTATTTATTTTGTTTTATTTTTTTCAATTAGATTGTATTTTATTGAAATTGTTGGATTTTTTTGTTGGTGTTATTTATTACAATTTGGTTTCACATTTGTTTTCTTTTCATTTATGCTTCAATACCGTCAGCTTCTTCCTTTACCTTAGCATCACCTGGCTTGCCCTTGGACCAGTCTGGTTTTTTCTGTAAAAAAATGCATCGAAATAAAATCAAATTAGTGTGATTTTGTTATGACTGGATTTGTCCAGTGTTGTTTTCGATTAAAAACAGATGATTTTGTGTGAATTGGCTGGAATGAATTAAAATAGATACACTCCACATATGATGATGGAACACACACAAATTAGATACAGATGATTTTCGTAACTTTGTCAAAATGTTGAATATATTGTGTGTAAATGTTTTCTTTGTTTTTTTTTTGTGCGTTGTGTTGATATATATTTTGTGAATACATATATGTCGTGAGATCAACACGTAATCGGGACACGTTACACCTATTTTGCTTACACTTCTTTTTATCTTTAGTTGGTGTCTTTTCTTTTTTACTATGACTGCTGTGATGCTTCTTTTTATCATCTTTCTTTTCCTCCTTCTTTTCTTCTTCCTTTGGCGGTTCTTCCTTTGGCGGTTCTGGTTCCTCTGGTTTAAGCGAATCCTTCTTTTCTTTCTTTTCCATTACGATATTGGGTTTCTTTTTGGTTTATTTTCATTTGTGTGTGTTTTTGTGCGATTTTAATTATATGAATTAATAAGCAATTTAAATTTGAAAAAAGCCATGAATGAACCCCTTCCGCTTGTGAGATTTGCACTTTTCATCATTTTGTGTTAATATTAATAAAATATATACCTCTTTCTCTTCTTCTTCCAAGGTGAATTCCTTTTTCTTGACAACCTTCAATTGGTTACGGAAGTTGAATTCAGCAGCCTTCTTTTGCAATTTGGCGAATTTGTTCTCGTATTTGGAGACCTTCTTGAGAGTTGGTTTGACGCTAAAAAAAGTTTTTTTTTTGTTAAAAATTTACATTTGAGTATTAATTACATTTGATACGCGTGACAGTTGGCGTGTTTGTTGGATGTAATACTTACAATTTACCGCGGAGGTCGTTGACTTGAGCGTTAAGGTCGTTGATCTGTTTTCAAAAGGAAAATTCATATTGATCGATTAGTATTCCATACGATTATCCATTGTTTGCTCGTTCGAAATGAAGTAATAATTGATTTGTTCGATTTGATTTTACTTCATTTCCCGAGTTGTGTATATGTGTTTTAAATTAAGACAGAACATTTGGTTAGCATAAATCAGTCGTCTAGAAAGCTGATTTAAAAAGCGTTTGTTCGCAGTATTCAGCAGTTTGTTTGTTTGTTAGTAACAAAAATGTGCATGGTGCAATGTGCAGAACTTGAAGCAAACAAAAGAAGAATAAAAAAAAACAACAGAAAAAAATAAAATAAGCATAATAAAAACTGGTATCACACAAAACGAAATATAACCCAGCTGATCATCTTCAGAGTTGTCTAAACTAAACTCGCTAAATAAAACAATCGGATTCACAAATCCAAACCAAAATGGTGTTGGGAAAAATATAAACGGAACAAATAAATGAAATTGCATGAAATTTGTTTCTTGTCGACAGACATTTTCAACGTGGAAAAGTTCCAATTAAAAAAAAACAAAAATAATAATAAAAAATTGGCATTTCGATGGCGCAAATATTTGCAATGTTCTTTTATCGCTTTTCGAAAAATTAAAAAAAAATAAATCGCGCGTCGATCAATCGATTCATGATCATTCGTGATACTAAACGAATGTCGACTGGAAATTTCTTCAATTGTGGTGGAGGACAATGTTGTCGTTGTGTTGTTGTTCTTTCAAATCGTGTGTAATGGGATCTATTTCACAGAATTTTTTTTTTTATTTTTTTTTATATTGACAACTAGTTACAAGTGGATTAAACCAGAAAGTGTTATTAACAACGAAGGTACTGCACAGTATGGCACTTTGGTTTGTGTTTCGTTCCTCGTAACATATAGAAAACAACGAGAGTAAAAAAAACAATCGCATGGAAAAAAATGTATCTCTTTTCAAGCGCTAATCTAATTAGCCACATTTGAAACGAGTATATCATATTCATCAATAGTGGATGACAAAAAAAAATATTGTGGGTGTTTTCAGATAGTGTGAGTGTAATGTATATGTATATGAAGAATTTTTTTTCGTTCATATCTTCTTTTTTAGTGGTTGAATTTCAAGTTGAATGACTTAAAACGAATGAAACTAAGGGAGGTATTTGAATCATTTTGTGGGTATCTGCACTAAGCCGAATGACAACCGTGTGGTTAAATTTTATATAAATAAAATGAGCGTGAACCGATAATATTCTGTGTGTCAGTGTTTTTTGTTTCGGCATTTGAATTGTCGATTATGTTGATTCTATTTGAATAAATCTAATAGGCATAATGATATTAGAAATGTTATGTTAAGAGAGAAAAAAATGGTGTTTTTCGTTTTTTTTTCATTTGAATATGTATTGCGCTTTGAATTAGATCGGCAAGAGATCAGCGATAGTAAAAAATATGAATAAATAAAGGAACAACGCACACCGAAACATTATAAAACGAAATTATTAAATTTGAAACAAATGTTCATTTGATGATGTGCCATACTGTATGAGATGCGCGCGTTTAATTTTATTTCTTTTTTAGCTTATTTTTTTCCATTTTCATATTTTTAATATAATTAATAAGTGTTTGTTTTTAGTACAGATTATTTTCCGTTGTAAAACTTAGCAACAATTGAATGTATTTTTCAGTCGAATCATTTAGAAAAGAAAATTTTTTGTTTTTCGGTAGAATAAAAGAATTGCAGCCATGCATATAGCTCATTAAAATCAGTTGGTTTGGTTTTTTTCCATGCAAATTAATTGTTCTCATTTAGTATTTTTGTTTGCAAAACGAATCAAACGGTTCTGTTGGTTGATTGGGCTGAAATGATCTCTATGTACATTCTCTACATATTTTATAGGTTTTTAAAAACTACTGACAAACACACGAGGCACTGATCATGGGGTCGGAAAGGTGGTTTCGGTTAAAATTCTTTGACGGAAACTGAAAAGTTCTTTTTTATATATATAAAGCCACATCCAGTCAATATCTAGACGTTTCGGTTTTTTTTGTTCGATTTTTGTAATAACTTATTTCAAAGAACAAAAAAGTATCGAGTTTTAGTGTGATGCCTATTTACATGAAGCCCACTTTAATAATTTAATTTGACTAAAAACGAGTCGATTATTTATTTCCATGTAGTGACCAATTGATGAATTTACAAAAAGTTTTACACTGAAATTATAGTATGTATATCACAATGTTTTATAGATGTGTAAGTGTGAAATGGTTCTATACAAAGGTAGTGAGAATGTCATGGTTGTGTTTGTGTGTATCTGTGTTTATATGTGTTTCACATACTTGAAACACACTGACATAATACGTTTTGCTTGAGAGAATAAATCCCCAAAATTTGAAAACAAAAAACAAAATTATATCCTCGGTTTGTAATGAATATTTCTGTATATCATCACCGCGGGTCAGTGGTAATAACAAATATATAAATAATGGGTGGCTGAATACAAATTCAAAACGAAAAACACGAACACAATTCAAAATCACGAGGGAAACGGTAACTGTTTCTCGTTGATTTGGTATATGTAATAATAAAATATAAATTTATGAAAATTAAATCAACAAATTTAAAGACAAAAAAAAAAACCAAGAAAAAATGAACACAAGTAATATAATGAAACGGTGGAAACGAACACAAATTCAAAGTTGCACGAGAGAATTTCCAGTTTGATGCTCTACTGTTTATTATTTTTTAAATTTATTTTGTTCGGGTGAATGGTGTGCTTGAGAATGTGTATGAATTTTGAATATCGAAACAAAATACGGATTAAAAAACGGGAAAGATTTGTGTGTATATGTGTTTTTTGGAAACTTTGTTTGATTTGCAGTACCTCCCAGTCTCTTTTGCGCACTTCGTGTTCTAGATCCCATTTTTGGCCCTCACATACATACATTCGGTCGTAGTATTCTTGACAGATTTCCGCCAATTCCTCTGCAAATACGAAATACCGTTTGGTTCAAATTCGATATGATTTTTTTTTGGATTTTGGACATTTATTCACACAATTCGATTTGGAATTTTTTTTTGTTTTTTTTTTTTTTTTTGGACATGGGAAATAATATAACCAAGTCGGTTTCGACGCATGACATATTTTCATTGTCTTCGACGATGAATTCACGAATTGTTGCTTTTCATGATGTGAATGAGAGAGAATCAAAATAAATTTTAAACGAAATTAAACGAGAAAAAAAAAGAACGATTAATTTTGAACAGCAAAAAAATCACACATCGATTGGACATCAAAATAATAAAAAAGGTATAATATAATCATTTTGTGGTGCGTTCCTATCTGTCTCTCATTCTTTTATTTGTTTTTTGTTTCTTTTCTGTTTCTAAGTTAAATTAAAACAGCGGAAAAACGAATAAAAAAAAACCAAAAAAGAAAAATATAAACGTCAACTTAAAAAATGGGGGTGAGGAAGAGATTGTGTTGTAGAGTGTGTATTTGTGTGTGGCGTTTAGATTTTGTATCGCTCTAAATCCACAAAAAAAACTATATTTAGAAAAAAAAACTAATCATTCATTCACTCCAATCAAAGGTCATTTTTGTTGGAATTGATTTTTGTTTCGTTTGGTTTGCGTATTTGTTGTTTTTGGTTTAGTTTGATTTTGATGCGTGTAACCGTTTTACCTCCATCTTTTTTAGTGCGCTGGCTCGCTCTAAATCATATTTATCACCTTCCAAACCAGATATCCGTTTCCAATATTCATGACAAATCGTTTGGAGTTCGGCTAAACATTCGCATAATACGAATCGTTTTGAAATTGTGTGTGTTTTTTTGTTTCGGTTTAAATACGCAATTGATTTAATTGATTGTTGTTGTTGTGGTTGTGGTTTGTGCGATCGTACGCGTCAATTGTCAAGAACAAAAAAAACATGTGAAATGAGAGAGACAAGTAGTATGTTTTGTTGTGAGATTTTTTGTTTCATTTTTTTCTCGATAAAACTGGGTGAAAGAGATATAAAGAGTGTTTAAATATGTTTATGTGGTCATTTAATATCATGTTTCATATATAATGTATACATGACTCATGAAGTGGCTATGTGAGCAAAAAGAATATGGTCAGTCGTCTACGAGTATAATAGATAAATATGCAATAATAACAAACAAAAAATTACAAACTTAAATGATACGCATGTTTACGATTTTAATAGAAGAATACAGCTAATATATTGCGTGGGCAACGGGCACCCTGTTTCAAATTAAAAAAAAAATAACAAGGGAGGACATTTGCGTGTTTCTACTTTACATCGAGACATCAACATCGAGAGATTTTGATATAAAGAGACTTTAACGACAAATTCTTAGAATCCTTGCCTCAAGATCCTTTTTGGCTACGGAATATTCCAAATCGAATTTTGCATCTTCCAACTCGCATACTCGGCTATGATATTCACTGCATATGCTTCGCAAGCTAACTATAAAATGTCAGATTAATACGTTTGTTTTAAATAAGCACCGCAACAAATGTTTGATTTTCGCATACATATTTTTTTTTTTGGTTATAAATTAAATGAGTTTTTCTCAAATTTGGCAAATGACGCATTTGCCGCAGCCTTTGCACAACATATAAGCTTAAATAAAGCGATACAAATCTCACTTTGCTCCAGAAAATGCTGTTACTAATTATTCTTATTACTTTGCATTGGACACTTGTTATTTTCAAATTGTTTTCGACCTCACATAAGGATACAAAAATAGAGACCATCGATTATAATTGTTCACATTTTGAGAAATATCTTCATTATTCGAATCAAAAGGAAAAAAAATGACGAGACTAGAAAAGAAATTCACAAAGAGAACAGTGAAAACAACTTGAACACTGAAAATAGATTTGAGTCGCAGAGAGTCATTTAGTTGGCTTGAATGCAAATGTAATCGGATTATGGTTTTGTTTTGGCAGCATTGAAACAAAAAAAAACAGTATTCGTTAAAACGTAACAGCGAAAATTACAAACTATATGTAAAAGAAATTCGGCAAGGCGCGCGATTCGCAATGGTTTTTTTTTTTGCTATTTTGTTTAGTTTAGTTATTGTTCTGTGTGTTTAATAAAATTTTTTGTTTGGTTTGTTGTGTAATGATGACTGTACCTCAACATCTTTCCGTTTGACAATGTATTCGATGTCGTATTTTTTGTCTTCCAATGATTTAATACGATCGTGGTAGGCTCTCAAAGTCGACTTAAGTTGTTCTGTGTACGATGGATGAGTGAATGTCATTTATTTTATTGTGTTTTGTGAATTTGGTTGACAATTAAGTTTTCCGATTTTTTTTTTTTGCTTAGAAAATATTATCAATTTTAAAAATAAAATGTGCATTATCTGAATTTATCTAATTTTGATTCAAAAGGATCCGAAAAGAAATGAATCTAAACTTGATATGAAAATAACCAAATCCTTCTTTTGAAAATGGGCGAATTGCAGATCTTCTCTCAATAAAATATCTAATTTGTAATGAAATCTCGAAATGTTCGCGAATGGTTTATCGAATCTTCATTTTGAAATGAATTTAAACTGTTCTTTTTTTCTTTGCTGTCGTATGAAATAACCAAAAATGTACATGACCAGAAGGAATGTAAGGACTTTTTTTTGGAGAGAAACATTGTAGGGAAATACAAAACAATACGATAAACTGAAAACATCTCAACATACCTTGGTTGGCACCGTCAACTTCTTTTGGTTTACCGCAACGTTCTTCAATGATGCGTCTACGTTCGGCTGCTTTACGTTCTTGTTCTTTCTTCAATTCTTCAGCGGCTTTCTTACGGAGCAACAACTGTTGGACGAATTATCATGTTTTTAGTAACAAAAAAAAACCATGGTAAAGTAGATGGATCTTGGAGTACTCACACGAAGTTTCTTCTTTCTTTCTGGTGTCATGAAACCTTTCTTGGCTTTTTTGGCCTTTGAAGCTTCTTCCATACGCTTACGTACTTCAGCACGTTTGCGTTCGATTTCGGCCTGTTTGGCCTTCTTTGCCTATCGTATCGAAAAATGAAAATAATTAAGAATTAATTGGCATACTTGTACACGCTCTATTTGTATTTGCTGTGTTCGTGTTTTTTTTTTCCAAAAGTATGTCCATTTGAATTTTGGTTTGAGTGTTCGTTCGATCGAGTGACAACCTCCTCGACAGGATCTGGTGGTGCGGGTGGACCAGCAGGAGCAGCGGCTGCAGGTGCAGCTTTCCCATTTGCAGCTGGTGCTGCTGCTTTGCCTTTTGCTGGCGATGGTGCCTTGCTACCTGCTGGCGATGGTCCCTTGCTACCTGCTGGCGACGCTGCCTTGCCACTTTTAGCAGCAGCGGCTGTAGCGGGCGCTGTCATTTTAAAACAAAACCTTATTAATTACATTCAAATTTGAATCCTATATTTTTTTCGCATGAGAATTTCTCATTTTACCTGGTGTTGCGGGGGCTGCGGCTACCGCTGCTTTCTTCTTCTGTTACGAAAATGAAAAAAACACTAAATTAGCAAGCTATTCTCGAAAAAAATCGAACGTTTTTTTAGCACAAGAGAAAAAAAATCATCGAAAATCAAGTTAGAAAAACAAACTTATTTTAAACTAAAACGAAATCGGCTACACTCGGATTATTTTGGTTAAAATTCATTGGGATAGAAAAAAAAATATTATGTTGGTTAAATGTTATTCGTTGACACCCACACAAAATAGTTACTCTCGTCAAATATGTTTTTCTCTATCAAGGTTTCATTCGAATCAAAATGAAATCGCTAATAAGAAGCAAGTTAAATGCAATATTCTCTTTAGTATTGAAAAATGTGTCTTTTAAAAATTAAAAAAAAGAGAAATTGATAATAGCTAAAGCAAGAAGCACCAAAAAAATTCATTTTAGATTTAGAGTAAAAACGTGATAAACCCACCTTGAATCGATAATTGCTCGACAATGATGACACACAATGAACATTGAACACTCATAACGACGTACAATAATTGAACATGTTTGTTCTCAAACACGAAACGAAAGTACTGTAAAAGAAAACAATCGTAGCCGAGAAAAATGATACATTAATTGAATTTGTGCTTGAAACGAGTTGATTTGTAGAGATTTTCTTGAATTCTGTTGTTTCGATACATACCTCACCTCATCATCAGCCATGTTGAATTAGTGTGCTTGGGATAAACTGTTGAAAGAATAAACGAAAAAATGATGAAAATTGTAACGGTCCGTGAATAGTGTAATGTGTAATCGATTTGAAATTTATTTGTGACTGAAAATTTGTGTCAATATTTGTTCAGTTTTTGAATCGGACACTAGACTGTTTTCCTTTTTGTTAAAAATATCTTTCAATGGTACGCCCGTATTTGCTGTGTGAGCGGCCCCATTTAGAGGAAGACGTGAGTAGATGAGAAAACTAAATTTAGAAACGAACTGCAATGGAATTCTCCGAAACTTCGGCGAACTCTGTGTTGATAATTTCTGTATCTGGTGCGAACTATATAGCATATCATAGGATGGGGTGATGTCATTTCTTTTACGTAGGTGAAAATTTAGATCAAAATTTTAAAACTGTGATATAAAAAAATGAATAACAATCTGCCGACACACAAGATCATCATCGTTAGAAATGAGCGAACAAGAATTGAGAAAATGTTGAACGAATGATACCGAACGAAGGTGGGAGTGACAGAGCGCTCACTAACAATGAAACTGAAAATAGAAACACATTCTCTCCTTCTTGCAATCGCCTTTAATTGTCGTCTTTGTCAGTCAGTCGTGTGTGTATAAAAGTATTTTCCGTCTATTTTATGAATTTTCATATGTTTCGCCAAAGAAAAACAACTTGTACTGATTTATTTTCCTTCGCTTGAAGACCATGTACTTGAATATTGTTTTTTTTTTATGCTGTACACTCATAATGAATTTGCTCTCATTCGCAGCTCGTCATTTTCAGTGTTGAAGGAAGCACTTAAAGTGCCCGGATTTTCATTTGGGCGGTGATTGCGCATTACATTTACCTTTTTCGTAAAATATTTATTGAGAGTGTGAAAAGTAGGCGATTAGCATGAATTAGTGATTTTTATTTAAGATTATGTTTTTCCAATGCAGTAAAAAAGAAATGTGTGCATGGAAACCTGTTTGCATTTTGTGTGCTTCATTTTCTCAGTGAGATACACCTAAACACAATGAGCATCTCTATTTTTGCGTCGTAGTATTTAATTGGTGAGAAAAAAAGGAACAAATTGGAAACTTAATCGAGGTAGAAGAGATTATCTGTTGGATTTACTTGTTGAAGATTTTATGCGAGGGAAATAAATATAGCGAAGAAATTAACATTATCTATTTTTACATATGAAAAAAAATTTAATCGAATTTGTTATTGCGTTCGTTTGGTTCGACTTAAGTTCTACCATATAGAAGACGGAATTGTACATTGGCCGTTGGTGATTTTCGCATATTTTCAATTTTTCGGCTCATTGAGTGATCTCGCTCATAAAATAACCGACGAATCGCGCGCTGAAAATACCGAAAGCGCTACACGATCAGCGCTGAAAATGTGTACGATGATTCACTGTGTGTGTTGTTTTAGGAATTGAAATTTTAAAATTTTGTAGCTCGATCGATCGTTTTATTTTTAGAATGTGCGCACACCGAACATTTCCCACATACACATTGGATTTCGTACACACGTAATGGACACTTTACGAGCAGACTGCGCACGCTCTCTTTCTCTTTTATCTTTCTCGCTTGCATATTTTCATCGTAAGATTTAAATAATCGCACAATTGTTTTTTCTTCAAAAAGTAATATTGCTCAAAATTGCAACATTTAAATAGTAATAGAACACAAAATCGGAGTTTAAAACACAAATATCCAAACCATCGAGTTTGAATCATTTCGTATTTTTATTTTAATGAAAAGTGCACAGAATTCTGCAGAATTTGATTCGTTACAAATAGCACTTTTATCGATAAATTACTCGATTATGTAACAAGAAATACAATAAAAAAAGATCACAGAGTAAAAAAAAATCACAAAAAATCGTGAAAATCACGGATGTCCTTGGAATTTTTCAGATTGCGAAAAAAAATGAGCAAAAAATCGTCGTGAAAAAAACTTTATTTTGAAAAGAACTTCACTTGCACTTTAATTTTCAAAGTTTTTCGGGTTTTTTATCTACACTTTTTATTCGTTTTTCGTAAAATTGATTTGTGCGAGCACAAATTTGATGAGAACTCACCTCGAAAGGAACAAAAATGAAACAAATGCTTGATTTAACAATCGGACTGCTCGAACCGACGGCTAAAGGCTGACTAATGCAACTTGATATGGATCGTTCAACGATCGTTCGTTCGTAGAATCGCGCGGTGTGAAAAAAGAAAAACAAATTTTTTTTGCGTGTGTTCGTGTGTATTTGGCCACTACATGTACACGCATTAAATATGCTAACAAATATCAACACCGATCACAAATTTTTTCGATCGTTTCACGTAATGCTAAGCACCGCTAAAAATGGATTGCACTGAAATAGAATCATTTTCGCCTTCTCGTTTTCGCATCAGCGCGCCCGCTTTAACTTTATGTGATATATAAATACAAATTCTTCGCTAGCGCGCATACATATTACATATATCGTATTTTCTGCTCAACCGCTTTTATGCACGGTTTCAGTTTATTTTTCTCTCATGTCGTAAGACATTTGGGTGTTGTTTTTCTTGAATGATTATATTCACATCACACAATTTGGAAAATGGAAGCATATACAAATGAAATGAAGAAGAAAAAAATATAAATAAATAAAATAACAACAACATTAAAATCCAAAGCTGAATTTTGTTTTCTTTATTCCTTTCTACTTGATATATTATGAGCAACATCTATTACAACACTTGTGAGCATATAGAATGTTGGGCGAAAAAAAATATTTTTTTCACCAAAATATCAAAATAAAATAGACGACACTGGGCGATGTCACAAAATCGCGTTGAATACGCCGTTTCAGCTAAAATAATTAAGACTTTCGAGTCTTGCTTATTTCATTCTAAACCGCACAAAATGTGCTTACAATGTAGATATTTTTTTGCAAATGGCTGAAAATCAACGTTTATGTTGATATGATTGCCAATTTTCATGCGACCGAGAATTTCATTTTGATAATGGATCGTTAAACTTGCAATTAAAAGAAAAAATGGAATGAATTGAATTCGAACTCGAGAGACTGAACATGGAAGAATTTCATTTAAAAAATTCGATGCATGTAATAAAAGCAAAAAATTATTAAACTTCTCTGCCATATCGTGGCATCTGCACAAAAATCATTCGAAAAACCTTCATTTCTCTCTTGATAACTTGAGAAATCACATTCAAAAAGAAAATCATTCATAATTTGTATTTGATGCAATAACATGATGCAGTTTCTGGTCGCCGATTTTTATATTCGCTTACATTTGTCGTCGTCACTGTCGTCGACAGTTGTGCACATACATCGAGAGAACAATATTTAATGAAGTACATAATTCAAGAATTGCGTAAATCAGTTTATATTCACTGGATAATGTTTAGAGTAGTTGACCTATTTACTTCGTTTCGCCGACACACACAGAGAGATAGAACGAGCCAGCGAGCGAGAGTGAGATACGAAAGTCACGACATATATGTGTTACACACTCACGCTTGTTACACACCGAAAAATGTATCGCTCTCAATGGGGAGAAAAAGCAAAATCATTACAATGCATATAATGTCTGTACATTAAGCAATTTCAAGCTTTTCATATTCAATGTCTCGGTGTAAACGTCAGCAAACACACAACTATCCCGATGCAATGGGTTAGAATGTGACAACATCAAGGATAAAAATATGTGCATGTCCTTTATGTATATACATAAAAATCCAGCGAGAAATTTCGTGAGTGCACTTTTTGTCCACGTCTTTTCTGTTTGCCATTAAAGGAACGCTTCAGAAGGAGTTCCCATTCAGTATACGTAAATGTACAACTGTTGACGTCATTGCATTTCCTTTCCGATGCGTGTATCCCTCATTTTTGTGTATTGGCAACATGATGAAAGTTCTTAATCGGTTTTAATTCCTTTATGATATGAATAGATTGAAGAGAATAACAAGAATAAAGTATACACTTGTCATTTTTATTTCGGGATGAACTCAAAAATACAGTACAATCTATATTTTGTAGAATTTCTTTTTATAATTTTGCCACTCGATTTATTATTAGGCTGCTGTATTCACATAATCACCTTTTTATGGGTCAGAGTCAAAATTGTCTTGATTCATCCACATACTTTTTGTGATATATGCCAAAAATCCAGCTACAATAATAATTACAAGAAAAAAATACAATGAAAATTATTTTTCATGATCATCAGCGTCAGCAATTTTTTTATGGTTTTCAAATATAAATTTTTCGTTCCCAAAAAAGCTATTCAAACATAGGTTACTTAGATTATGGCCAAGAGATTTTAAATTGTAGTATAAGAAATGCAGGATTAATTTGGACCGAATAATGTCAAGTGATAATTTTCCAAAAAAAATGACCATGTGCAATTTGGGCCATTAAATCCTTCAATTTGGATAAGATTTCAAAAAAATATATAAATAAAGAATATTTCCAAGCAATATCCCATTGAGTGGAACGAAAAAAAACCATATCGACTTATGAATTAATGTCTGCGATTGAGAAAATTGTCTATCCGTACTCGGGGCAGAGCCAACAACAACAATAACGCAAAACAACATTGTGATGTGATACGAGAGCCGAACATATCTTCTATTTATATAACGATAGAATCGTTGCTATAAATAGAATTCCTTTCGTTGGCATCGGTTTACATTTAAAAAAAATAGTATGAGAGAGTAAGAGAGGGATATAGAATTAACCAGCGTTTCAGTGCTAGTAGATATATTCTGCGATTGTAGAGAAAATCGAGTTTTTATGGAAAATATACTATTATTAAAATTGATATGTTTGATGTTTCGATTCATTCGTTCTTTGGTGGTTGTACGTTTTTTCATCAGCTTCTGAAATTGCATAAATTCTCTCGCAAATGCCAATCTCAATCTGCTGGAAGTAATTACGTTAATGATGACACTTTTCAACGGATCTCTCTCTCTCTCTCTGTATCTCTCCGTGTGTTATTTTTTCAGTATCAACAATATCCAGCCCCTGTCAACATTTACAGCCACAGTGATTCTCTCATGTTCGTTTAGCTCTATGAGAATTTGTTCTAATTTTTGTTGCCTTCGATTGAAATGACGTGCATATACCCAGCATGCACATTGCACACTCTCGTTTGTTATGTCCAAATGCAACAAACAGTGACGTCAATAACACACATTCCGTTTTTCCATGTTTTCACATCGAGAGCTTGGCCACCAACAAACACGATGGAGCAGTCAATTCAGAAAAAAAAACTAGAATTTATGATGAAATTTCATTGCGACAATTATTTTTTCCATGTAGTAATTGAGTTACTGAAATGCTTCGTATTGAAGTTTTCATGAAAAGATTGTCATTTTCAAAGCGAAACACGAGAATTAAACAAAAATGTGCATTCAATTTTGGCAGTTTCCTTTCTTTTGTGACATTTTCCTGTACAAGTCGTGTCGTTCGTCTTCGATTTTATTCGCATACAAAGACTTAAAATAAAACTCCATGTGAAACAGCTAAGTTTTGAGCTTTTGAATGCATGAGAATGAAAAACGAAAATTATGAAGTAAAAAAGTTGGCATTTGAAAAGAATGTGCAAATTGCATTCGAAGGCAAGTATAAAGCATGTTTCACGTCACGAGGAAATTAATGTGTGCATCAAATAATGTGAGCAACGGAAGGTGGAGAGACGAAATGAACGAAAATGGAAAACACATACCATATTTTGTTACCTTTTGGTTTCATGTCACGTTTCATTGGAGTTTGGCAATTGTTGCTATTTTCTGTGTTATACGGTTGTCGACGTCACTTTTGGCCTACTTTTACCCCGACTCAAAACATGGAATAACAACAGCAACAAACACAAAACAGAATCCGTTTATTTTCCATTCGCTATGTAATGTTCAAATTCGTTGGCTATGCTGAGTGTGTTGTTGAATATGGAGCAATGTACGCATGAACTTTTCATCACTCTTCTGCTCCCTTTTTCGTTTGCCATAATCTCGCATGAGGATTCTCGCACTCGGGCGCTATACTGGATAAAATGCACATTCGAAATGTTTCACAGGCCCATTTGGATACATACAACCAAGCATCATCATCATCATCTTCAACACAGACAAACTCGGAGAGCAGCAAATACACACACACCCAAAGAGAGAGAGAGAGAGAGAGAGAGAGAGAGAGAGAGAGAGAGAGAGA